TGGAAGAACTGGACGACCGTTTCGTCCTATTGTGAGACTCCTCAACGGTGCGCATACATGATCCCGCACTCGCGAGATTCGAACCCAGGACCTACCGGTCTCGAGCCAGAGCCCTTAACCGATAGACCACTGAGCCGACATCCAACGGTGTTGGTGTCTAACTTCAACCAATCCACGAGTGCGGGACCGTGAATGCACACTATTGAGGAGTCCCACGATAGAACGAAACGGCCTTCCAGTGCTTTCAGGTTTTCCATGGTGGTCTAGCTTCAATTGACTCATGATTTCAACTATTAAAATACTGAATTCTCCACAAAAAACCCCTCTGATCTAAATTCTAATTTATCTAGATTTTCGTAATTGAATTTTAATGCAATCTCATGCACAGAACAAGAAATGGTACGAGACGAATGCTGAACAATCAATAAAATGATGTGTAGGAAGAAAAGCACTCCGGATTTCAGGGTGAATAGAAGGCACAAATAGAAGTAACGACGATTTTAAATTAAATATGTCGACAGGAAAAAGAATAAGAGATCGAAAGTCCAGAGTTCGGCTCCCTGTTTCGGGGTCGTGGATACGCACTCATGAGGAATCTCATACTGGAACGAAACGATTGTCCAGTGCTTCCAGATTTTTTATTGTCGTCTAAATTTGATCGGTTCTTGATATTGATACGCAAAATACAAGAACTGAGTCAGCCAAAACCTTTACTGTACAGTTTACAAGACCTTTACATTTTAAACACTTTTGAATAGTTATACAAATATTGATAACATCTATTCAACAACTAAACGATTGAATCACTATTTGTTAAAATACAACTGCTAATTCATGAGACTTTCATCCCAGGGATCAAAACTTTAAGTATGTATCAGATACTGAACCATAGAAACAGTAATATTGAAGTCAAACAGTTGTAGAAACTTATTACTGTTTGTTTGAATTTTCGCATTCATGTTTAGGACTGCAACTGGTCAGTTTCTATCAAGTAAGTGGCTATTAGGACTCGGTAGCTGAGTGGATAGTGCGATGGCGTTTGGAGTGAAAGGTACTGGCTTCGATTACAAGAGTGAACATCAACTCAGATGCAGGGACATCCAACTGACGAGTCCCAAATAGGACGAAACGCGCGTCAAGCTGGATTCTACTGCTAGCCATTATCCATCTTTGCTTACAATAGTTGTAGAGACTGTCGATAAGAAAAAATGGACAGTTGGTGAAATATTTAGTGAATACTATCATTCCGAACGGACACTACTAACTGCAGAAAAGCAGAATACACTCATTAGACAATATTGTTTTATTTTTGATCATAATACCTACACACAAAGTCTCCGGTATGTACTACTATAAACTTATAGAATGAGGAATTCATTTACACTATCTCGTTTTTTTTCAATGATTCTTCCGTTCATATCAATCTATGATGTGAACAATTAGATCACACATAGATTTATAATGCTTATATCTATGTAAATCTACCAAAAAAAATGTGAAAAGTTCATAATCAAGGTCAAACAAGCAAATAATTGTATTATACTAAAAGAAGCATACGCCTATAAATCCCTCTGTATACAAGTATACACACACACGCGACAGCCATTACTTATACATACATACTAACTACTATAAATGAAGGGAAATGAGGACAGTTTAATAATGTATACGAAGAATTGACCGAAGTAACAATATCATACTAATGTAATAGAATACGATATAACTGAAGAAATATAAACGAAGAATCAGTTGAAAACTGTAACCATTTTTGTACATAGGGAGAGAGAAATGAATTGGTAAGGAAGTAAAACAATAATGACCAATATACGATTATCTCATATATCAAAGTTACTTGCTCATGAGTGGTATACTATATATCAGATAAAAGTACAATTAAAGAGATGAAATAATCAAAGTGCAACCTTTAACTTTCTGAGAGAAATTCAAATATTGCATACAACGAGTAATAGAGATAGTTTTATACTGCTCAAAACTTTTGAAATTTTAGCCACCAGAGTAAAAATGATTGTGTTGAAGCTATTAAGTGCTCATTTCTGTCTCTGCAGATTGTACATAACGAGAAAATCAACGCTATCCGTATATTCCTGAATCTTGAAAAAAAAACATTAGCCTGGTGACACTACATCCTATAAACGAATTAAGCAGATGGCAAGTCGCGGAATTTACCCATACATTTGGCTACAGAGTATTTTTGGCGCTATGGTTAATGTCAGTTTATGATGAGAATATGTTTTTTTAGCATGGAGCTTCAATGAAGATGTATCCATACATATCAGAGATGAAGTTTACTTTCCTTCATTAACACTTCATTTATATGAGTTGGTAATACTCTTCAAGTGGACCATTTTTTTAAAACTAATGAGTGAAATGCATTCAAACCTGTACCTTAGACAATGAAAAAATGAAGTCATAAAAATGGACTGTTTAAAACAATTATGCCTCCCAAACGCTACATCAAGATTAGGCAGTACGTTTGGAAACAAAATCCTCGTAGATATGAAAATAATTACGCTTTATCTCACTAAGATTACTGTTTCATTTATCATCACCAAAAAAGTACCAGCCAGCTATCCAATGATATAATGCAATTGTTAAACATATTAACGTGAATTAGTAACTGTCAACAAGATTGCTTCAAACAGGAAATAAAGTGAAAGTATTGAGGAACTTTGAAATATATCTAATCACATGAATATATCAGGACATTATGATCAACTTAATTTACTCATAAATAAAAAAAGAAGAGGAAATCTGTTAAGTCTTATTAATAACGATTGACGTATTGAGGTTTCCGGTAGGCCTACGGAAAATTCTAACTACGAATGATTGAAGGTTCTTCTAATACAACACAATATATAGGAACTTAAATAGACCGAACATATGTCATACCGTAGCACTTTAACTTTTTTTAACCCACAGGCTAATAGAGATAGAGAAGATGGGACTGTAAAGAAGTGAAAAAGTGAAAAACCAACTCTGACCTTGGGAGACATAACAAAATTAGCTAGCTAAAGGTGACGACAATCAGTCATTAGGCAACAGCAAATGTTATTATAGAAATATGAATTAGGAAAATATCATCGAGATTATCCTTTAAAGAAAGAACTAACATATAAAAACACAAAACCTAGTCTCTTCTTAGCAAAGCCAAAATTATGTTAACTAGCAAACAATGAAAATTATGGAATCACAAAATTGCAATATAGATATGTAAAAAAACTAGTAGTTATAACCCATTGACTTTTAAATAGAAACTTGTTATTTAGAGTTCTGTTGAAAGGGAAGCGTAGCTTAAGGTCATCGATATATAAATTTATAAATCATATAGAAAAGCAAAATAAACTGTAACTACTGAGCAAACATGGGTTGGAGAATGCTGGTCGGCGGCCTATGCTCCATTGGGAGTAACAGGCGTAAGTAAGTAAGTACTGAGTAAACAACAACTTCATTTGAAATTTAACTTAAAGTCCCCATGAAAAGTAACAAGAAAAACCATTCATTAGAAAACAAATATCCAAACACCAGAGATAGAAAGAGAAAAGATTTGCTTTCAGCTCCATTTCAAAATGTCATGCAAGTAATTATCACTTGACCATATGTTATACCTATTCATGAAAATCAATAGCACATGTTCACATGAACATTTAGACTGATCGCCGTATAGTAATTAACGTTATGTGTTGTCTAGATCTTCGTTCTGATAAAATTTTATCGATCAAATTCCAATATCCCTACTGATCTAAGTGACTTGATACTGTATGCAATATGATTTGATGTTGGATAGCAGGAAGCCATGTTTGACACAGTTTTCATGATAGTTAACAATTGTCAGCAAGGTGATCATGAACGGACTGAAAATAACCCCCTTCATGAGATTTAATCCTGTGTATCATCACCTAACACAAACACGTATATACATGTGATTTACGACTGTTCTCTCAATATCAATGTTGAAAATGAATACACAACAGCATAACTGTAAATCATAGTAATAACATTATGTTAGTAACATCTATTTGTCGAAAAATCAATATATGGTTTTTATTATCAAACAAAGCACACACTCAAATCATAGTTGACAATAAGAATAAACAAGTGTATTACGCCACCAATTTTTTTGTTTTCAAATCAAAGTGAGAATGTGATACATTATCGAACTTCAAATATGACAAAATTACATAGGTTCTGTTAAAACAATTTTACCATATGCAAAAACTGTAAACTAGTATTTTGTTCTCTCGTCCTAATCCTATTTTCTATCCTGGAACGTATTGCAATCAATGTCAATAAGTTGTGATAAAGAAAGGAAGACAGACAAAAGACAAGTGATATATGTATCTCCAAATGGGACGAAACTCTCGTCCTGGATTCCATTGCTAGAAACATTTCATCTAATAGATACAAACTTAAATTCACTTAGTATTGTTTTTTGAATCTTCCCATTGATGTTTAGGACTGCAATTGGTGAGTCTCTAATTGGCCATATATGAGTACTATGAGTATTGCCTCGTTATAGCCTTAATTAACAAGCATTGTTAGCAAAGATGGATAGTGGCCAGCAGTGGAATCCAGGACGCGCGTTTCGTCAGGAATCACTGGCCGAGTGGATAACATGATGGCGTTTGAAGCTAAAGGTACTGGGTTCGAGTCCCAGAGTAAACATCAACTCTGAGATGCAGATACATCCAAATGACGAGTCCCAAATAAAACGAAACGCGCGTCCTGGTTTCCACTGCTAGCCACTATCCGTCTTTGCTTACAGATACAAACTTGTTGCAAAATGATTACATTGAGACAATCCATACAAAATGCATATATACCAACTACGACTAATCAAACTTCAGTAAAAATATCAACAACGGGATTATCTCGAACTTTACAAATTACATTACAAAGAAATTATTGTTTGAAAGGGAACAGATGAAATCAATGAGTGTATACATGTAAATATGTATATATACATTATTACAATAACTTACTTCGATCCTGCTTTCGTTTCTTACAATCAAAATCTAATCTTCGTCCTTCGAGTTTCTTACGATGATACTGTGGGGGGAAATTAACAAAGATAAATCTTAATCGGAAGAATAGTTTACATAATAAAATGACAAGCCTATATACAAAATATCGACACGAGAAAAACATGGTAAAATAGAAGTTGGAGATTGATTATGAATACAGTGATCTTGAGTGCTGTTAGAGATATGAGGACAGTTATCACTTCCCGGTTCTTCTGGAGGTACCTGAAAAGTAAATTGTGTTAAAAGTGATCTTAATGACCTGAGAGCGTGACCGCAGTGCTCAAGGGACAACTGCTTGAGGTCGGTCACACACGATCTTTTTGTAGGTAGTTTTTGTGTTAGCTCCGTACTTGTTGGGATCTTACCGCCGGAGACGGATATCCATGGGATAAGGCGAGGTGTGCATTTTTAGGTCGACCTTTTCTAACCCCACACCTCCTTGTGGGAAGGCAGCATCGCTGTTATGCTGGTTGTCTGAAGGAACTAAAATATTAAGTCGTAAATGTTATGCATAATTCCAGTTACATACAAATCAAGCATAATGAAGTAAGAAAATTGTTTGATTCGATTGAATAACTCAAATGGCAGTAAAACTAACTCCGATACGGCGAAACATCATAAGCTAACGTTTTATTTCTGTACAGTAGACCAATGTCACGCATCATAAGTAGACTATCTAATCAACCAAAGGGGAACTATTTCATCCTATTATGAGACAAACATAACAATGAGTACTCACGACCGTGCCAAAGATCAAACCCAGAATTCAGGCAATAAGCGCTTAAAATTTAAAGTATTGAATTAATGTTCAGTAGCAACTAAAATCAGTTCATGATGTAAACTATAAGTAAACAAATTATTCACATAATAATATCGCCAAACAATTCAATTGACTTTGTACAACATAATGGATAAGTATATAAGTAGACAGATTCATTTTCTTTTTAATAATTTTCCATAAATTGTGAAAACATGTACAAAACGATAATGATAACAATGAGTCAGAATTAATATCGATATATAACGTAATGGTATAACTAAATATTGACAATCAACACTATGTTATTAATTACATCATTGTGGATTGCGTAGAACAGTTTGCTATCAATAGTTGAGAATTATGAAGTAATAAATAACTTGACTAATAAGTAAATCATTCATTCAGCCAGTCAGCTACAACGTAATACCAGGCACATATATGCATCGGTCCAAGTTGCCATACCTTGTTAGCACAACGAGATGAACACCAAATCCATAGAAGTAGATAATCAAGTGGTGGTAGTATATAAAAGATAGGTTGTATATAAGGATATAGTATAGGAAGGACGAACGTTATAAAGCAAGTTTAATCTCAAGGTTTAAGGGAAGATAAAGAGTGTATACACCTACACCATTGTGATCGATTCTGAGCCATGTCACCCAGAGTCTCCAACCATTGGTTACGATAGTCACGAAGACCCCAACCAGGTAGTCTGCATCTGCCATCATGGCTCAGACTAGAAGTTATTTATTTATTTATTTAAACACATATATATTGGTACAAGAAAGCACCAGATATATATGCGCCACACTATTTGTGTGTGGGCTGTGATACTGCCCGGGTGTCCAAACCGAAGCAGGTGGTTTTCTTAAGGGGCCACACCCGGAGCCTTTGACCAAAAGGTCTGATCCACAAGGCAGTGGAGCATCGTGAGGAGATGCACTCCCATGGTAGCCGTTGACCAATGACAGGTTCGTCCGCCATTCGTTCCATCAGGATACTGGATCCAGCCCATGTACGCCATTGGTTTGGAATCAGGGTTTTCCAACTCCCCTAGGTGGACCCTCCGTGTCCACCAACCCGGTTAAAGCGCCGGACATTCGCTTTTCGTCCTCTCACTTTCGTAAACAACACCCCCGCCATGAGAAGGCAGTGAGTAGGACTTCCCTGGCAGAGGCTATATATTCGCTGGCCATGTGAGAGCATTTCTAGAGGGAGAGTAGACTCTCCCCACTCTCGGCCGTACCAGGGCATTTTGGGGAGAGACTAGAAGTTAGTGACTTCAAGCACTGATGCCACGTTTTGGTTTAGCCGCCCCTAACTTTTCCAACCACCACCTACACTAGTCAGCATAGCGCGTCGTGGTAATCAGTGTTCAGGCATACGTAACACGTGACCTAACCATCTCAGTCGATGAAGATTCATGACCTCATCAACTGATTTACCATCATTCCCTAATACCCTGTGGCTAACCTCAATATTACTTTTTCCGATGATCCCAGCAGATGGGAGCAATATTTCTAAGATATCTGTAGTCAAATACTAGTAACTTGCGACTATCTTTTACTCTTAATGGCCATGTTTCACAGCCGTAAAGTAGAACAGAGCGAACTGTTGCGCAGTATACTCGTCCCTTAATTGATAGACGGATATCTCGTCTTCGCCATAGGTGAAGTAAGTTGGCAAAAGCCAAACCCCTAACAGCACTCAAGACCACAACAAGATGAACATCGAATTCATAGAAGTAGTTAATTTAGTGGTGTTAATATATAAAAGAAAGGTTGTATATAAAGATATAGAATAATTAAATCGTCAGATACGTAAATTTGTGCACAATAATAAGAAGAATATATAAAGGTTTATCAAAGTAACAAAGTGTACCTTAGTTTGCATAAATGAACGTTAGGTATTATATGATCAATGTGTACGATGAACAATCCATTTATTTATTATTTATTTAAACACATAAATATTGGTACAAGGAAGCACCAGATATATATGCGCCGCATAAATCTCATTCGATATGTGTGAGGGTTGTGATACTGCCCAGATGCCCAAACTGAAGCAGGTGGTTTTCTTAAGGGGTCACACCCGGAGCCTTTCACCTAAAGTTCTGATCCACGAGGCAGTGGAGCATCGTGAGGAGATGCCGTACCATGGTAGCCGGTGACCAACAATTGGTTCATAGTCCATTTGTTCCTTCAGGATACTGGAGCCATCCCATGTGCACCATTGGTTTGGGATGAGGGTTTTCCAACTCCCCTAGGTGGACTCGCCGTGTCCACCAACCCCGTTAAAGTGCCGGGCATTCGCTTTTCGTCCTCTGAATTTCGTAGACAACACCCCCACCGCGAGAAGGCAGTGAGTAGTCATATTTGATCTATACCTTGTACACAGTGATATTGTCAATTGAATATTCAAACTAGGTAGATAGAGAAGTTAACAAACCTATCATTTAATGGTTAAAGAAACTGCTCAATTGCATGGTCAAATATCATGGTCGAGATTAAGCTGCAACGAAAACCCTGATAAAAATAGTCGTAATAGAGATTTTCTTTAAATAAAACAAAATCTTCAACGAAAAATCCTTCTTAGTAATATAACAGATATACTTACATTGATCTCTTTTAATTCATGTGTTTGTACACTATGTAGAGGATCTAGAAAATTCTCTTTCACATGTTCTTCCATAGTGTATTTAATATTTGCTAAGCATTTAAATGTTTCACCAGCTTCTACAAGACATTGACCTAGAAAGAAAATTATAAAACATGTATATAGCATAGGTGAAAAAATAATCTGGCCTAGAAAATTTAAACATGCTTACCAAAATGATGTACTGATGAAAACATTTAACATTTAAATCTGGTCAAAAACTAGTTAAGACTTAAAATCGAACTTATTCTCTAGAAGAAGCACTAGTGTTAGCACTATCATTCCTGATACAGTTGAACTTTACTGGTCACATCTTTAAAAAAGGTTGTAAGTGTGTATTCCTGAAAAGTTCTTATATTAAGATGAACAACTATTCGATTGCTTCCTGGTTTCAAACGGCACACCTATAGATGTTAGTTCGTGATGAAAACCACTTACAGATAATAGTAATAGGTAACACTAGAAGATTACAATAAATGCCAGTTCAGTGGTCTAGATGTTAAGAATTCGTGTGCGAAACCGAAGATCCTGGGTTCAGGTCCCGCGAGCAGGATCGTGGATGCGCACTGCTGAAGAGCCTCATACTTGAACGGAACGGCCATCTAGTGCTTGCAGGTTTTCAGTGGTGGTCTAGCTTCGATCGATTCATGAATTCAACAATGAAAAAGTATGTAAGAAGGAATACTGAAATTCATAACTGAAAATAAGATAAAACATGAATGCATCAGCACTATTGTGAAAGGTCCTGACCCATGTCACTTAAAGTCTCTCACCATGTGGACTCCAACCACATAGTCTACATATATTAAAATGGCTTAATTCAATAGTTAATGAATTCATGGAGTAACTCCATGTTTTGATTCGACCACACCTATCTTCTTTACAACATACTTCTACATTAACAACCATCGGTGGTCGAGATAAAAGAGGATTGGGCATATGTAACACATGTCCTAACCAATTTAGTCAATGAAGATTAACGACCCCATTAACCAGTTTGGCACCTTTACCTAATACCATAGACTAATGGTCCAACCTTAACATTACTCACACGGTCGTCCCAAAAACACGAGCACTGTTTCCGAAATACCTATCATCAAAAACCTCTAGTCTATACATATCTTCCACTTAAAGAAAAAAAGTGCTTCGTAAAAATCAAATTACAGAGTGAATTGCTCCACCGTATACATCCCTTTTGGTTGGTGGATGGATATCTTGACGTAAGTAGAAGTCAGCAGTGCTCTCTGAATCCGTACGGAGTTTGCCGGACATCAACCCCCCAGGATGGATGAGACTTCCGAGATAAGTAAAGTGGTCAACGAACTCAACTACTTCACTTCCTATCATTGGTTCTGATGCAAAACTAGGGATATAAAGAGAGTAAAATGCATCCCAAGCATGCACTGTTGCTCAAGGTGACTAACAAACTCTGCATTTTGTCAGTATCTTCATCAAATAGGACCATGTTATCTAGATATTTTAAGTAAACAAGTGAACATAGTAACAAGGTTTTTGACCGAATATAAATGTATTGGTAACATTAGCCAGGAAGCTTGATGCTTACTTCCAATACATGTTATATATGACATAAAAGCTTGCAAAAATGGAGCCAAATAAAGTATCCCACACAAAAAACTTGGAATCAAACTTTATGAACTGACGAAATACGTTTTTCTGATCACCCTTAATCTTCTCTCAACCTATTTCAGACCAATCAGCATAACACATCAAATAAGCATCTAGTTACTGAAAATATTACAACCTTCCTATATATCAATTATTATAACTGATTATTAAACAGTACATTAGGAAGATAATTGCATTGAATCTTTGCATTGAGTCTTCATAAAAATGATTATCCTTTTTATAGCGAATAAGGTATAGAAAAGTCCTGACCAATATGACTGGGAATGTTAAACGGTCTTTGGTTTTATAGTACTAGTTCTAATCAATGGTAACACATTATAGATAAAACGGGCCGAATGATGGGTCAGAAGATAGTGAATACTACTTTAGTAACTATTTAACCAAGCAGTGTTTGCCGTCTGACAATAATTAGATGAGATAGGTGTTTAGTATACGAAATGACGATGGTGTGTTGAAACGAAAGATCTTTGTTAATTAAAAATGAACTAGTGTACACTTCAACACAAAGATAATTAACAAATATTGATCAGATAAAGAATTAAGTGCAAAAAAGTTATTAGAAAACTTAAATCAATGCCAAACATTATATTAAACATACCATAATATGAATCAGGACCTAAATCGCGACCATATTTTATCATACATTCACCTAATTGATTTTCAGGTTGAGGATAAGCTGTACATTTTGATTTCCCTTGTAATTTATTCAATGTATTCATTGTCATTAATTTAGCACGATAAGCTGGATTTGGTTGTAAATATTCATGTGTTTGTGCTATGACATCTTCGAATAATTTAGAAATTGTATCAACTTTCTAAATGATAAGTTTAAGAATAAAAACATGAAGTCAAAACTTACTTTTTCAATTTCAACATATTCATCGTCTAGTTTTGTACCTTCTGCTCCTCCAATCTTCTCACTCATAAACTGAAAAAAAAAAAAAAATAAATAATTATTTATTTATTTAAACACATAAATATTGGTACAAGGAAGCACCAGATAAATATGCGCCTCACAAATCTCATTCGATATGTGTGAGGGTTGTGATACTGCCCAGATGCCCAAACTGAAGCAGGTGGTTTTCTTAAGGGGTCACACCCGGAGCCTTTCACCTAAAGATCTGATCCACAAGGCAGTGGAGAGGAGATGCAGTCCCATGGTAGCCGGTGACCAACAATTGGTTCATAGTCCATTTGTTCCTTCAGGATACTGGAGCCATCCCATGTGCACCATTGGTTTGGGATGAGGGTTTTCCAGCTCCCCTAAGTGGACTCGCCTTGTCCACCAACCCGCTTAAAGCGCCAGACATTCGCTTTTCGTCCTCTCAATTTCGTAAACAACAGTAGTGCCACGAGAAGGTAGTGAGTAGGACTTCCCTTGCAGAGGCTATATACGCGTGGCCATGTGAGAGCATTTCGAAAGGGAGGATTCTCCCTACTCTCGACTATACCAGGGCATGAATAGAAAGACAACTAATATTTAAAAGAATTCATAGAAGATGGATCTGCATTACTGCAATCAATTTTTAGTAATTTAAATTAAGCTTTTTATTGACTTAATGATCCCAGACAAAATATTATAATAAGAATGAAACATGTCTATGAGAATAATACAGCAAACATATAAAACAAAAGAACCCTCAGTGGTCAATGCACAAACAAGACGAGAATTAGAACGATGAATCGGAATACATAGATGCACTGGAAGTATGTGTTTACAATATTCTTAGATCTAACTAATACTGCAGTAAAAAATCTTTCATTTACCAACAACAGTAGAAGGATAGATGGATGGATGGAAATTTTCTATATCTTACAAAACACTAACTGAAATTTGATTATTCTTGCTCTATCATAATGCAGATGATAAGACTATGTTTATTTATTTATTTATTTAAACACATAAATATTGGTATAAGGAAGCACCAGATACATATGCGCCATGCAAATCTCATTTGATTTGCTTGAGGGCTGTGATACTGCCCAGGTGCCCGAACTGAAGCAGGTGATAAGACTATGATGGGAATCCAGTCAATGTGGAAATTAGAGCACTAGTTAATTAATTTAGACATGGTGAAAAAGAATTAAAATACATGAGAATAAGAGAAGTTAATGAATAGGAGTCGAGTAACATGATGGTGATTGACAAAATAAGGTGATACAAATGCTATGGTCATTTTTCGATTCGACAGAGAACTCGACGCTTCCTTAGACTGAAGTCACTAAATTTATGGATCAGGATCGTACGTTAGTTGTTCTGTCCTTGGCATTCATTTTGCTGTTATAGTAGTGATCTACCAAGTGCGACATTAAACCACGCTGTTTGTGTGAGGGATGGTGATGTTAATCACAATGGTCAAACTGAAATGAATGGAGTAATGTCCAAATCTGAGATCTACTAGTTGGAAACAGTCTCTTGACCACTAGGCCACTGCTTCACTCCATCCTTTTCTATCCTAAGGATGATCTTATTCATATCTTAACAAAAATGACGATTTCTCTTTCAAAAATATATTAAAACTCCAAAAGAGTAACATGTCATTCGCTGGTTCAACAATCAATGCCTGGTACTGGTTCGGCTCCCTCTGATTTCCTTAAATCAACTTTTATACTAACATGCACAGCATATAAGGTAGTCTTTAGGCATGAATAACATATTCTAACCATCTCATTCAATGGAACTTCATACTCTCAGCAATAAGCTTACAATCTTTATTCAGTACTATAAGCGTAACCTCAATACTTACTCAACTGATTCTCCATGCATTCTAATTTCCGCTTACTATGTCTAAACAGCGTTGTGATTAGGACCGGTGCATATTTGGCTCAAGTTATAGGTTATTTAAAAAGTGTGACCACATAAGTTTGATAACCCGCTGAATAATAATAAGACTCATTAACCATGAAACTTAGTCTACAAAAGTGATAACCATACTTATATTTCGAAGGGTTTGAATATCGTCTTACTTGAAACCAGTTGAATTTAATGAGCAACGAATAATCTGAAACCCAATAGCCTTTAGTAGAGTTAACTCACTTTCTTACTCATTACATATGCAATACTTTACATGTCTAAAATTTGAAATATCTTTCTTAATTGCTCGTAATTGAATGCTTTGTTACCAAACATCCTAAAATAACGAGCTCATTGTTAAAGTCATTTGGTGTGAATGCGCTGTTGATTTGTCATCTACCCCGACAAACCTGTGGCTGGGTGTAAGAAGTGGGAAGTTTTCAGATTTTTAACGAGACACCAATTATTATTACCATGCAGTGCAAAAGTAATTACCATTACTTTACAAAAACTGGGCTTGTTAAATAAACCTGTCTCGACAAATTATGGTAGTGACAAAACTATCAAGTGTTATCAGACTTTTGATAGTAATCTGTAGATTACATCTTGTAATATAATTTGGATTCAAAAAGTTTCAAACGTCTTGTTGGTATGGGCATAGTGGTAGAAAGGAAAATCCTTATATCACTCAAAATGTATTAGCTTTATAACTAAGATTACCGACCTTTTCAGATCATTTACGAACGTTTGTTGCGTTAAGACCGAAGACCAGAAAAAATGACAGCTCTAAGACCGAAACATGCACTAATAATACCAGCTGAATATTATTAAATTAATGGAAATAGAAATAAAAACATAAAACAGTGTTTGAAATCCATATTAACTTAGTTCGGAGCACTTTACAGCTCTCTTTATATCGGTCCTACTGGAAACCAATACAACAAAGTCAAAAACCTTTGTGTAATACATTAGGTCGAGCTGGAGGCATCCACATTGTATCTACTTCATTATATGTTGCCCATTACAGATACTTTGATTCTTCGCAGAAAACGTCAAGAATGAAATGGGCATTACTGCTAACTGATGTTGACAACTAACTGAATAAAACGGTAGTCTATGTAGTGGATTTGATTTTAGTGACTACAACATGGTTGCATTTGCCATGAGTAAAAGAACAACATATGGAGTTAGTCAGTCAATCATCAACGTACAGCCTGATACGAATGCGCTTCCCAAGTTGCCATTTCCCACTAGCATGACGATGTGGATAGCAAAAGAAATCAAAATAATGTAGTTGCAATGATGATGAGAAAGATTGATCAAGAATATGGTATGCATGGCATCTATGTATGTATTATTGATTTAAATACAAACATCGGTACAAGGAACTAAATATATATGCACCATACTTTGCCATCCGATTTGTGTGAGGGCTGAGATACTGCCCAAGTGCCCAAGCCGAAGCAGGTGGTTTTCTTAGGGAGGCCACTCCACGAGCCTTTGACTTCGAGGCCTCATCTACGAGGCAGTGGAGCAACGTCAGATACAGTTCCATGGTAGCCGGTAACTAACAAAAGATTTATATCCCCTTTTCTCCTTCAAGATCCTGGAGCACATGTGCACCATTGGTTTGGAATCAGGGTTTTCCAACTTCCCTAGGTGGATCCTCCGTGTCCAGTAATCCAGTTAAAGCGCCAGACATTCTCTTTCCGTCCTCTCAATTTCATAAACATCCCTTACGTGAGAAGGCACTGCGTATTACTTTCCTGTCAGTGGCTGTATACGCATAGCCACGTGAGAGCATTTAGAGAGGAAGAGCGGACTCTCACTGCTTTTGGCAGTACTAAGGTATTTGGGGGCATCTATGTATCTGAGTAACAAAACAATCTGACTGTATAGGGAATGACTAATAACGCTTATGCTGATCTCTTATCACATCAGAGAATGTAAGGCGAACTTGTAAGAGCATTTCGTGTCTTTAATAATGGTTTGGGTGCTAATATGTTATCTTCTGGGTCCTCTTACAACTTATCATCTAGACAATCACGAAATGGTACAAACATCACGATCGAATAAATTAGTTTCAATATCTCGCTTTTTTCATTGATTAGTAGTAACCCCATTAGTACACAATTTTATAAAGGAACTGGACCTTTTTACAAACACTGCACGAATTAACATGTCTACAAACCTAATTTGCTTGCTGAAATGGTTTCAGATGCTAAATGGATTCGAAACGTGCTAGGGTTGTGGAATACGCTGTACACAGAATTATCGTTAACCCTTAGCAGCGAAATGACCGAGACTATAGTTTATGGACAAACCGATCAGACCTAAGATCTTGCGTCTTGGAGTTTCAGGCAGGATTCATTCATCCATATGGCTAAATTACATTTTGGTATTGTAATAGATGTTATTTCGAGATGAAAACCCTCAACCTAATTTCTAACCCTAACCATCGACTGTAAATCATAATTCTTATTCTTCACACTACTTTACAACCCCCATTTATCCCTAGTATGTAGGTGGACATTCTTAAGGTAACTTCAGCATCGTCCAAAGGTCGTCCATAAATTATAGTCTCACTACCGAAGTCCCAGCGCAAAACCACGCTAAGATTAGCAAGTATGAGGTCAATTAACCGAACAAAAAAGACCAGCCAGAGTTGGTTAGTGATGTGGAACCTCCAAATACAACATATGGGGAAGAAAATCATAAAAGGATTTGAAATAAATCATCGGTAAACTGATTTCGGTGAACCCCCTCTGAACTTTCAATACATTTTTCACTACGACTCGTGTTCATTCGCAGTTACCCAGTCTGACTTTTAAACGACTATCTTAGGTATATTTTGGATACTACTGGGTCTTGATCGACAAGGCATTTATACAACTGGACTTCTTGCTCTTGTTAGAGAAGCAAGGAAATAAAATCTTACGTCTCGCTTCCCCATGGGAATTGGAGTTGGAGAACCGAAGACCGTCCCACGAACATATTAAGAACATTTATTAGAAGCAATAGTTCAACAAATAGTTTATTAGCTTTTAGCTGGCTCCGCTTTGCACCGTTTAGACAAGATTTGCCCATGTGACTTTCAAGCATTCATGCGACCATAATCCATCAAAACATTGGCTTTAAAAGAGAACTGGCCAGTAAAAAGATAGTGTACACGAAATCAGGAATTTGCAATCATTAAGCAACACATGGAGAATGTGGAATACATAACACAAGACTTGGTAGTTTCATTATATGGACGACAATGTACACAAAACAATGAACTAATTGTCTTGAGAGCAACTCACCTGGTTAGCTTTGTTGATTTGCTTCTTGAGACCAGCGAGAGACATCTTTGTGGACGCTGCAGAAATACCATCCAAAACAACCGCGTTGGCAGACAACAATGAAAAGTGAAGTGAAAAAAGCGTCTAATATCCAATAACTCTGTTTGAAAATAACACGAAGCTAAGTGTCCTGGTAATAAATATTTTTCCGTTAATCCAAATCTGCCTAGTAAGTCTCAACAGATGGAGCTTAAATCACGTGGTAAAGAAATTAGTTCAATTTGTCAGAAAAAAAGTGGTGAATCGGACAACGTTTGCTGAGGATGGTCAGTTACATAGATTATGAAAAAAGAGATCCTAGAATTGAATCGTGAAGGTACCACACTAAGATATTCTGTATCAAGTGAAAAAACGAAGTTTACTCAGGCGTCATCGTTAGTCAAGACTTAAAGACTACTGCACAATGCCGTGCAATAGCTGCCAAAGTTTTTAGAACTTTATGGTCTATACGCAGGGCTTTTAGGCATCTTGACGCTAAAACGTTTCTGACTTTGTATACAGTGTTCGTACGTCCTAAACTTGATTACTGCATACAAGCAGCTAGCCCCTGCCTAAAAAAAGAGAGTGGACTCTTGGAAAGGGTTCAGAGAACAGCAACTAGGCTGATTCCCGGAATAGCGAAGCTCCCGTATGGTACTAGACTGACCAAGCTAAACCTATTCCCGATGACATATAGAAAAATCAGAGGCGACTTGATTACAGTTTTCAAATTGCTTAATGACAAATTTGCACCTGATATGCCCTCATTTTTCTTGTCTTCCGAAACAGAAAATCTACGACGACACTCCAAAAAAGTTCACAAACCCAGAACGAATTACTTGTCAGCTGACTACCGACTTTCCCATCGAATAATCAACGAGTGAAATTCACTACCACAGCACGTGGTTGAGGCTCCATCCTTCAAAAGAAAGTTGGATTCAGCTGAGAGACCATCATTGCCAGGATTAACACAGGCCACCAAGCCTCCTGTCTTTTCAAAACTGAAACTGAAAATAACTTTTCAACAGTTGAAATCATCAGCTGACCTAAGCTATAACACCACTGAAAGCGTTTGAGCAATGTACGGTCGTTTCATCTTACTTACTTACTTACTTACACCTGTTACCCCTCGTTGAGGAGCATAGGACGCTCACCAGCATTCTCCATCTAACTCTGTCCTGGGCCTTCCTTTCCAGTTCTTTCCAGTTTATATTCATCCTTTTCATATCTGATTCTATTTCCTGGCGTAGTGTGTTCTTTGGTCTTCCTCTTCTCCGCTTCCCTTTCGGATTCCAAGTTAGGGATTGAGTCGTGATGCAGTTTGATGATTTCCTTAATGTCCTACCCACTTTCAACGTCTTTTCCTAATTTCGTCTTCAGCTGGAAGCTGGTTTGTCCTCTCCCATAAAACGCTGTTGCTCATAGTATCCGGCCAATGGATGTTGAGTATTTTGCGTAGACAACTATTTATAAATACTTGTACCTTCCTGATGATGGTCGTAGTAGTTCTCCACGTTTCAGCTCCGTACAGTAGGACTGTCTTGACGTTCGTATTAAAGATTCTGACCTTGAAATCGGTTGAGAGTTGTTTTGAGTTCCATATGTTCTTCAATTGTAGAAATGCTGCCCTTGCTTTTCCAATCCTCGCCTTTACATCTGCATCCGAACCTCCTTGTTTATCAACGATGCTCTCCAGGTACTTGAATGTTTCCACCTCTTCCAGAGTTTCGCCATCAAGTGTGATTGGGTTGGTGTTCTCCGTGTTGCATTTGAGAATCTTGCTTTTTCCTTTGTGAATGTGGAGGCCTATCGATGTGGAGGCTGCTGCTACATTTGCTGTCTTCATCTGCATTTGTTCGTGTGTATGAGAGAGGAGGGCTAGGTCATCTGCGAAGTCCAAATCATCTAATTGATTATGAGAAGTCCATTGTATTCCGTTTTCCCTTCAGTTGTCGAGTTCCTCATAATCCAGTCAATCACTAGAAGGAAAAGGAATGGGGAGAGTAGACAGCCTTGTCTGACTCCTGTCCTTACTGGAAATGCATCTGTCAGCTGTCCTCCATGCACGACTTTGCACTGTAGTCCATCGTATGAGTTTTGGATAATGTTGACGATCTTTTCAGGAACTCCATAGTGTCGAAGAAGTTTCCATAATGTTCTCCTGTCCACGCTGTCAAACGCCTTCTCATAGTCAATGAAGTTGACGTATAGTGATGAGTTCCACTCAACTGATTGTTCAACGATGATCCGTAGTGTCGCAATCTGGTCTGTGCACGAGCGATCCTTACGGAATCCAGCCTGATGATCCCGAAGTTCGGCGTCTACTGCGTCTTTCATCCGATTCAGCAGCACTCAGTTGAAAACTTTTCCTGGTACTGATAACAAACTGATACCTCTGTAGTTCTCACATTTGCTCAGATCTTTCTTTGGTATCTTGATGAGATATCCTTCTTTCCAGTCCGTTGGCACTTGTTCCTTTTCCCAAATCTTCTTGAATAGAAGGTGAAGCATGTTTGCAGTTATTTCAATGTCTGACTTCAGTGCTTCTGCTGGTATATTGTCAGGTCCTGCCGCCTTCCCACTTTTGATTTGTCTGATGGCCATCTTGACTTCTTCGATCGTTGGTGGAGTGACATCTACTGGAGGGTCAGTGTGTGCCGCTTCGATGTTCGGTGGATTCAATGGGGCTGGTCTATTCAGCAGTTCCTCGAGGTATTCTGTCCATCTTTTCCTCTGTTCTTGAATCTCAGTGATTTTCTTTGCTTCTTTGTCCTTGACTGGTCTATCTGGTTTGCTATATCTCCCTGCCAATTTCTTCGTTGTATCATATAGTTGTTTCATATTCCCTTCTCTTGCAGCTTTTTCCGCCGCCGTTGCTCCCATGTTCTCCCATGTATTTCTGCTTGTCGGCTTTAATGCTTTTCTTCACTCCCATGTTTGCTTCTGCGTAGTCTGCCTGTGCTTTGACTTTCTCTGCTCATGTTCGACTGTTGTTAATTGTTAGTTTCTTGTTCTTTCGTTTTTGAATTTTGTCGAGTTTCCATAGATGTTCACTCCTAATGATGATGCTTCTTGCGACCCAGAACCTTCTGACACGTTGAAGTTAATGCTTCTTCTATCCC